GAACGAGTCATTACCGACCAGGGTAGTGAATTCGAGGCCGAATTATTTCAGGCGCTGTGCCGAGAGTTCGGGATCCAGAAGGACCGAACCACGGCGTATCACCCCCAGGCGAACGGGATGGTAGAGAGGATGAACCAGACTCTGGCCGGGAAGCTTAAACGCATGGCGGCCGCGAATCAACAGGACTGGGACGAACACCTTCCCTATGCCCTGTTCGCCTACACCACCGCCGTTCACACCTCTACAGGACAGACCCCGTTCCTAATGATGTTTGGTCGCGAGTCTCGCCTGCCCGCAGATCTGCTGTTCGGTGTTCCTCCGCCGCAACGGGAGGAAGGGAGCCACCCCGTGGAGCACTTGCTGGAGACCCTGCGAGGGGCCAGGGGCCGAGCCTGCCCGCACGGAGAGGCCGCGCACCAGCGGCAAGAGCAGGGCGCCCGACCCCGTATGGAGCCCCCCTTCTACACTGCGGGCTCCGAGGTGTGGCTGTACACTCCCCGCGTCGGTGCCGGACAGGTGGGGAAGCTGACCACCTACTGGCGAGGACCCTGGATTGTGAGACGGCAGATCTCACCATGGACGGTGCTGATTCAGGGAGGAGAGAGGGGCCGGGAGATGGTGGTCAACATCCGCCGACTGAAGCCGTGGCGAGCAGCCCCCGAGGGGGGGAGCCCCGCCGTCCAAGTACCCCGAAACCCCGGGGTCCCCCCACCCCCCGTGCCCGGGGGCCTCGCGCAGTACATGGGCCCCACGGAGCCCCGGGCTCCGAGGGGCCCCGGGCGGGGCCGGGGGCGACGAGGACGGCGACCCTTAAACCCCACCGCCTCTGAGTTTGTTCCCCAGCCCGCAGGTGCCAGAGGCCGAGGGGAGCCGTTGGAATGGAGGAGGAGACCCCCGCCGGAGCCCCAGGAGACGGAGCCGCCACCCCCGAGGCCAACCACAAGGGCCGGGCGAATCCCGCGGACCCCGCGGCGATACCTCGTGGGGGCAACCCAGGCGAGGTGCTCAAGTCAACCCGGGACGGGGACTGGCACCCCGGGGGGCTATGTGGTGCCACAGCGACGGGGCCGCTCTGCCGAGCCAGGGAGCCGCCCGGCTTCCCCCACCGCACTGCCCCCAATCACCCGCCCCACATAAGCACACACCCGCACGCATCCCCCCCCCCCCCCCCCCCCCCCATAGAGCTGGAAGGGAAGGTTACCTGATCGACCGGTTTTTATCCGAGAGACCCTTATCGGGATTAATTCTCACGGTTTCCGGCGATCAGGGAATTGGATGACCTCCCCCGTGCTACGTGGTACCGCGGCGCTGCTGCCGGCCTTAATATGGTGTGGTCGCGGCGTGGGGCATTCGGCCACCGCGGTTGAGGCGCATTTCCCCCCACACACACCCCCACGAGTCGACGGGGCAAGCAGGGGAGGCACGGGACAGCATGAATAGCGGGGTCACAGGGGCTGTTGCGCATAGTCATGGAGGGTTGGGATAATTGCGCTTGAGCGCGCAAGCCCCATTGGTAGGAAGGGTAAGGGAGTAATTAGGATTTACGCCTTGCACGCAGCACACTGATTAGCATATCAACAGCGCCTGGGGACTGCCGTGCGCGGGCTTGGGGTGCACGAGCCCATTGTTCAGCGCAGCATCCCCTTTGGGAGGTAGGGAGGATAAATAGAGGAGCGCAGAGGGGAAATCGCTCTCTTACTCCAGCGCCAGGCGACCAGACGCAGCTCGGGCCACCGACCCGGACGTCCGTGCGACGCACCGAGGCACGCGGTTAACACAAGGATCAGCGGACCGCCGTGGACACTTAACAGTGAGTAAGAAGGGGAATTAGAATCATAGCCGATAAATAGGGAATAGGTACAGGTTTAGTGGAATAGGCCAGCCTCGTCGACTCACTGATTCAACATCAATTCGCAGGTGGCATATAATAAATCATTAATAGCGAAGCGTGGTCTCGCGTGATCTTGTCGTGCAGTGTGAGCGTGTGGGTGCGCTGTGTGCACAGTGGTTCGCCACGTGAGTGAGCGCTGCGCGGAGCTGAGCGCGCGGGTTGCGTGTGGGAACGCGTGTGGTACTGTGTGTGCGTAAGCTCGCGGCGTGCGTAATAGGCGTACCCCAGGTGCGCGATCATAACGCAAGCGGCCAGCAGACGGCGAGCGCTGCGCAGAGCGGCGCAAGAGTGGGTGTCGCGTGTGTTCACTCCGTGTGTGATACAGGTGCGCGATCATAACTTGCGTAGTTGGTGTGGAGTTGGAGTGCACGGAGCGGCGTGTGTGTGTGTGCATACGTTCGTTACATGTCGGACACGGATGCGCATTGGTAACGTGCCGCACAGGGCTATACTGCGAGCACGGCGTTTGATTGACGATGATGTGCGCACGTATGCTCGCAGCGTGGGAGCGCGGCGCGAGGCTGTAACCGTAGTGGCGTCGCATTCGAATGCCGGCAAAACCGTAGCGAGTAATAGGGAGGTGGGGTAACTTAAACGGAATAGGGGATGCTGGCGGGAGGGACCCCGGGGGCCAACGGCCCCCACAGGCGCAGCAGCAATGTGCTCGTCGTGATGGTGACAGTTGTTTTGTATCGGTAGACTTCGCCTCGAATGAGTACCTGGTTCGGTGTGTTAAACGTTCGCCACTTGGGGAGACAAAGGCGGCCGGGCGCGGTGCCGTGCCGGACCTTCATAGGCGCTACTCGCTAGCAGCACTTGCCCCAACAGTCTGCTGAGGTTATCTTCGTGGCGTGCTGTCGCGGTAAGAGTCAATGTGGTAGCAGCCGCGAACTATGACTTATGTGGTCCCAGTAGTAACTATTGCGACAGCACAAGTAGGAGCGATTGTGGTAGGGCAGCACTGGTTATTGGTCGTAGTTATGGTCAAACAGTACTGTGGTAACAGCAGTGGTGATCCTGATAGCAGTACTGTAGTACGATTCGTACTGCAGTAGGGGTGATAGTAGCGGCCGAGTTAACGATAGTGGGAATAGTGGTAGTGTTAATAGTAGTGGTAATTGTAGTGGTCATTGTAATAGTCCTGGTAATAGTAGTGGTAATAGCAGTGGTAATAGTAATGGTAATAGGAGTGGTAATGGTAATAGTAGTGTTAAGAGTAGTGGTAATTGTAGTGGTCATAGTAGTGGTAATGGTAGTGGTAATAGTAGTGGTAATAGTAGTGGTAATAGTAGTGGTAATAATAATAGTAGTAGTGGTAATAGTAGTGGTAATGGTAGTGGTTATAGTAGTGGCAATAGTAGTGGTAATGGTAATAGTAGTGGTCATAGTAACAGTAGTGGTAATAGTAATGGTAGAAGTAGTGGTAATAGTAATTGCAACAGTAATGGTAATTTTAGCGATAGTGTTGGTGGAAGTTTTCTACAATCGTAACAGCACGGACCACTATCGACCTCCAACAAACCCGGTACTCATTTATCGACCTCGGGTGCGGAGTGAGCGTGGACAATTCGTCATCCGAACGCAGGATGCGACACCTCGGCCAACCCAACCGTGCGTCGCTTGCGGGCAACTAAAAACAAACTCCATCCATCGTAGGAGCGGCTCTCCGGATATAAAATGGAAAGAAAAAAAAACTCCACTCGGCGTAGCAACACTTGTGCAAGGAACCCGACTCTGTCCCAAATGTGTCGCTCCCAACGCGCACAGAGCGAGGGAAACCCGCATACGGCAAAACAGCAGCGGCAACAGCAGCAGTAGTCATTCATTCGTGGCTCGCTACGCTACTGGCAGTACCAGCAGCAGTAATAGCCGTGGCAAGTGGTGCCAGCAGCAGCAGTATCATTGCAAGCCCACCACGCTCTGCAAGTACGTATTTACCCAGCGACTTTTTTATTTGACCTTCATCAGAATAACAATAGACATCGCAATGTACCACGGCCCCGAAGTCAGCACCCTTCGGGATGATCTCCCAGTGCAATTGTCGATTTTGAATTGTTGTTGTTTGAACATAAGGAATTCATATTCTTTGGGTCTTTCGGTAAAGTCACGTAGAAAGGTTCAAAGAAAATAACAACAACAAAACTACGACGTTTCGATCGCAGCACAAGCGATCGTTTGTGATCGAAACGTCGTAGATTTTGTTTTAATGATTTTCTTTGAACCTATCTACGTGACTTTGCCGAAAGACCCAAAGAATATGTTTGAACATACTTCGCCGTGATCTTCACTACGGGGTTTTGACACGGGTGGGGGAGCGGGATTGGTGGTGGTGGTGGTGGTGGGTGGTTAAGATCTGTTCATGTATCATTTACAACTGATGACAGCCGCGTCCGGGATTGGAACTCAATTTGCCTGGTTCAAAGAGTGCGTTGTGCAAACCACAGCGCCACCGCTCGATCTTTGCTATTATCTAGAACACTCGTTTTCTATGGCGCCGTCTCGACACGTGCTGCATGATGTGATGTCCGACGTTTCGCGACACGTGCTGGCTGGGAGCTTCTTTATTTGTACAGTTGAATCGAGCCGCTCACTTTCCCGACGCTCAAGTGAGGCGCTCGATTCAGTCTCTCAAGGAAGCTCTCAGCACGTGGATTAAATCAAGAAATGAAACGTTATCGGGGAAGATCGACGGTGGAACGAAACGTCGAGACATCACGTCGATCAACATGCGGTAGAACCCACGTCACGACGATGATGATGGTGGTGGTGATGGTGATGACGACGGTGGTGATGACGGTGGTGGTGATGATGACTATGGTGATGGTGATGACGATGGTGATGGTGGTGGTGATGATGATTATGGTGGTAATGATGATGGTGATGATGATGTTCATGACGACGGCGATGATGGCGCTGATGCTGACAACGGCGACGATGGTAAAAAAAATCGCCGTGCTCGTTGCTGCCCACCCTTCGCCTCGTGTGCCGTGATCATCCCTTCGCATGTCCCACTCGCTTGACAGCACTTGCCCCCCCCAACGAGTCTATTAACGCTACAAGACGCGTGCGCTGATGAGGTGGGGGGTGGGGCGATCTTTGCACGATGTACCTCGCTTGAGTATGTTGAGTCGGTAGCGTTCCTCGAGTTCGCACTGCCAACGCTCGCCCCTGAACTGCGCGCGGCACTCGGCGGCGCTCAGCTCGGCCGCGCCCAGGAGGACATCGGCGACGCCCGGGTCCCTCCTGCACAGCCTCCTCCTCTCGCCCCCCAGCTGCAGACGCTCGCAGCCCTTGAGGCGGCCCGGTCGGGGTACGGGGCCCGCGTGAGCCGCCTCGGGCCCCGAGATGAACGCGGAGAGGGGTTCCTTGCCCGTTAATCTGTAAACCCGTCGTCGGGGTGAGACGGAGAGGTGGGGTTTGATGGGTGGTTCGGTCGTGGTTGTGTTGGTTAGCGGGGGGCGGCGGGGGGGGCAGTGGGGAGCGAAGGTGGTTGTAGGGTTGGTGGTGGTGGAGAGACAGAGAGGAGGGGAGGATGTGTGTGATGGACATTACTCTGCGATCAACGGTAAATCATTGCATTTGTACACTTTGAACCCGCGTTGTTTCGCCGCGTGAATCGAGCGCGAGGTGAGAGGTTGTTTAGGTTGGTGCGGTGGTGGTGTTGGTGGTGGTGTTGTTGGTAGCGGTGGTGGTTTTTCAATGGTGTAGCTGCGAGCGTCAGTGTAGCTGCGAGCGCGCTGCGCTACGAACCCGTCGACCCGAGCTTGATTCCCACTCACGGCTGCCAACAACGGCGAGGATTATCTGCAGCGGTCCTGGGACTTCCCCTAGGTTGACTCAGCCTCAAATTACTGCCTGGCTGCGGTGTGTGAGCATCGCCACGGGGGAGACAAAGGCGGTCGCACGCTAGGTGCTACTCGCTAACGGCACTCGCTTCAAAAGTCTGCTCAGGCTATACGGGGGGTTGTGGATTGGGGGGGGGATCTTCGTTGTTGGTGTTTCCTCCTCCGTTACGCATAACCGACGTTCCATGATGAACAGTTTCCCGGCTCGGTTTTTTTTATTGTCTGTCGCTCCACGTAATTTGAATGCCCGCACTGCTCAAGACGACACGAAACCGGCGCCCGCTTTTGCTTGGCAATCGGATAGCGGCGGCCAATAAACGGAACGCGTCCGAGAGGGCGCCACGGGACGTCCGCCGCGGAGATGGAGCGTTTGGGTTTGGCTCGTGCGTAGGATCACGGCGGCTGCGGCGGTGGCTTTGAGTAGGAGAGCGGTGGGGAGGGGGGGGGGGCTTTCATCCGGCAGTGGATTGACCGTGGCCAATGATGACGGTGATGAGCGGTGACCGTTTGTTTCGCACAGGGTTGAGCAAATGACCACGTCCGTATTTCCACCGGTTACATTTGTGTGGAGGAGACGAAGAAGAAGAGGAAGAATAAACAAAAAACTGGGACTAGTGTGAAAAATATTAAATATTAACCGCGGCAGTTAATGATTTTTTCTTGTTGTTGCAAGTCTCTCTTGTAGTTGTCGTCGTGGTGGTGGTAGGGGTCAGCCGGCGCTGTGTGCGCGCCGCGAATTTTCGGGGGAGCTGATGAGCGCCTCCCGACTCCCCCCTCGCGCCGAGGTAGAACGCGCGCGGCGCTGCCCCGAACCACTCACCCTCAAACAACAAATCACGCACACACTCACGCACATCATCCAGCAGTGGATGGACCGTGGCTGCTGCTGCTGCTGATGATGATGATGATGATGATCGCGACGCACGCGCATTATATACCCCGTACATCCCGACACGAACACGGGCGCAGCACTGACGCTGCCGTCACGAGAAACACCGATCCCTTTTCGTGATCCGACGAACGTCGGGACACGCGGAGACACGGAGACACGCAGACAAACACGCGGACAAACACGCGGGAACACACGCGCACGCACACACGCACACACGCGCACGCGCACACACACGCACACACACGCGCACACACGCGCGCACGCGCGCACACACGCACACACACACGCACGTGCACACACACACGCGCACACACACACGCGCACTCACGCGCGCACACACGCGCGCACACACACGCACACACACACGCACACACACACGTGCACACGCGCACACTCGCACACACACACGCACACACGCGCACACACACACGCGCACACACACGTGCACACTCGCACACGCGCACACACACACGCGCACACACACACACGCGCACGCACACACGCACACACGCGCGCGCTTGCTGGGACCAACCGCCCTACCCGAAGTAAGATGCGACGGGGTTGGAGGCGCAGGTGAGGAACGTGAGCGCTAGGAGCAGAGCGGCTGCGTGCGACGCTGCGCTGGATGGGCGCAGCGCAGCCGGTAGCATGGTTCTCTCTCCGCCTCCCGGCCGTGCGGCACCAACATTTCCCGGAGAGGTCGACTCAAAAGTTCCCTTATGAAGTGCGCCGAGAGTACGCCCGCCCGCCCTCCTTGCAGCTCCCTCCCGCCCGCTTATACTCTGCCCGGAAGGTGCCGGCACAGCTGCCCAGCGACCAACCCAATGCTTCATCTCCCTCCCCTCCTCCTCCTGCTGCGGCTCCCCTCCCCTCCCCTCCTCCTCCTCCCAGTGTTGCTTTACCCCCACCGCTCCTCCCCGCGACAGCCTCGCTAGCACTTCTCAACCCTCCCCCACCCTTCATCCAATCTACCCCCCTCCCCTCCCCTGCCCTCTCTCTCTCTCCATCTCTCACTTGCTCACTCTCTCTCTCTCTCGCTCCCAGCTCTTTCCCTTTCCATATCCCTTATCCTTGCCTCCCTGCGCCCTCCCACTTCGTTCGCATTGACACCCGGCGCTCTACCGCTCGCACACCCAAAGACAAAGATCCCCCGTATAGCCTTAACAGACTTTTGGGGCGAGTGCTGTTCGCGAGAACCTATGAAGGCCGGCACTGTGGCACTTGAGGGGATGGGTGACCAGCACCATTGCCGACTGCCTTGTATCCGTTTTGGCGATGTTTACACACCGCACTAGCTACTGATTTGAGGCTGAGTCAACTTAGGGGAGGCCCAGGACCGGTTCAGATAATCGTCACAGGTGTTGGCCGTGAGCGGGAGTCGAACTCGGCTCACCGGGTTCGCTGCGCAGCGAAGCGCTAACCACTGCGCCACCGCCCACCCACACACGCGCACAGACGAGCGCTCCGTGTGTTTCGCGATCGGGGTCGGAGCGATGGGGGCTAAGGAGGATATGTCAGTGTGTGTGTGTGTGCATGTGAGGAGGAGAGCGGTGGAACAGCGGTTAGCGCGCTGCGTTACGAACCCGGCGACCCGAGATCGATTCCCGCTCACGGCCAACACCCAGTGACGATTATCTGAACTGGTCCTGGGCTTCCCCTAGGTCGACTCAGCCTCAAATCAGTACCTAGTGCAGTGTATAAACATTGTCAAAATGGATACAAGACAGTCGGGCACGGTACTGGTCACCCACCCCCTCGTGTGCCACAGTGCCGGCCATCATAGGTTTTTGCGAACAGCACTTGCCCCAACAGTCTGTTAAGGCTATACGAGGGATCTTTGTTTGTTTTATGTGTGCATGTGGGGAGGAGAGCGGTGGAGCAGCGCTTAGCGCGCTGCGCTACGAACCCGGCGATCCGAGTTCTATTCCCGCTCACGGCCAACACCAGTGACGATTTTCTGAACCAGTCCTCGGCCTCCCCTAAGTTGACTCAGCCTCAAATCAGTACCCAGTGCGGTGTGTAAACATGAACACTGGGAAGACAAAGGTGGTCAGGCGTAGTGTTGGCCGCCCATCCCCTCGTGTGCCGAGGCGTACATGGGCGACTCGCTATCACTACTTGCCCCCCCCTCCCTCGAAAACTTTGTTTAGGCTATACGGGTGATCGTTGTCTTTGTCAACTTATAAGGCGATGGGAGGGATGGTCCCCACGACTCGTTCCCACGTTCTCTGCACCGAATGCCCGGGGCACTTCCAACACCACTCGGGGTCCCCGTCGCGAGAACGAATCCTCGTGGTTTTTTATTTCCTTCTTTTCCGAATGGGCTGCAAAGCCCTACATGCGGCACAACTGTAGTCTCGGCTTATGGCACGTGACCTTGACAAAAGTGGCCATCTGAATGTTTCTCATTTGGGTAACGCATAAGTAAAGTCTGGCAGCTAAACTCTTTACCAAATATACTATAAATCACTCTGAGTAAACCGGTAAAGTCGAGAGTTGGACAAAGCTCGCTCCGGGTGACGCACATGCAACTCTAGCACACGGTGTCTGAGCGGCGTGGTGAAGTATGGTCAAACAACCAACGTGACCGACGCGGCGTGCCGAGGCCTTCATCCAGTAGCGGACTGACGGAGGTGGCTTGTAAATGATTAACCTTGCCGTCCAATCCTCCGGCAGCACTCTTTATCACGCGGCGCGGATGATATCGTATTATCGGAACCGAGTTGAAATGAATGCGTGCATTGTCAACGACAGATCAATACCGTACAGCCACACTTGTTTGTGTGTGTGTGTGCGTGTGTATTGGGAGAGCGTGAGAATGTGTGTGTGTGTGAGAGAGAGAGACTTTTAAACAACTTTTATTGCCGCCAGCAGCAACAGCACTGGAGGCGATTCCGATATGAAATAGACAGTCACCAGCAACACAAACAAACGCTATAAATCCACGCGCTGTGGCGCTAAATGCACCGCGCATAACACGAAAGAAAAGTCACGTGGTGGTGTTCATCGCGCACGCCATGGTGACGAGCGAGCGCTTCAGAAGGTGAACACCACGAGGGTGCCGTCCACGCTGGTACAGAGAGGGGCTTGTCCGGCTCCCCAGCGTTCGAAGAAGACGCGCACATCACCGACACGTGTGTGGTACATGGCGTGCTCCAGCCGGAGCCGCGCCTTGAGCAGGCCCCTGAACACTGGAAGCACAGAGAGAGCGCTGGGCGGGCGTGGTGCTGGAAACCCACTTCCTCGTGTGCCGCGCCGGCCTTCATAGGTTCTACTCGCTACTAACAGCACTTGGTACGACAGTCTGTTAAGGGTATATATATGTGTGTGTGGGGGGGGGGGGTATTTGACATTGAGAGCTGTGGAGTGGTGGCGCAGCGGTTAGCGCATTGCGCTCTGTACCCCACGAACCAGCCACGGGATAACTTGCATCCGTTGGAACATGATGTGTGCACCGGTCCTGAGCGTGTCGTAGGTTGACTCAGCCTCAAATGAGTGCCTGGTGCGGTGGGTAAAACATCGGCACTGGGGAGACAAAGGCGTCCGGGCGTGGTTCTGGCCGCGTCGGGCGTCATTGATGCTTGCTGACAGTTCTTGTCCCGACAGTCTGTTTAAGGCTATGCGGGCGGGGGGGTCTTGGTTTGTTATTTCTTTCGTCAGAACTTTCGTGGCGATAGTCTGCTGTTGTTGAGATTCGATGTGCGTGTGTTTGTCTTTGTAATCCGTCACGAACACCATCACAGGTGCGTCTAAGAACGTGTACCCTACTACACCCCCCCACCCACCCCCCCCGTCGTTTTGCATTTCCCACTGTTCTAATAGGAATTTCCATCGCACGTTATAAACAGCTGATGGCATCGATGACAAATAATTAACTTGTGCTCCAATCGCCCATTGCACACACACGCAACGCCACTCCACTCCGTGCTACTGTCGCCTGCGCAGCGCAGTCAGTCACCCAGAACAGGAGTGGCCTCGAGAAGAGACACGAGGTCCCACGGGGAAGTTGTGCAGAAGCTGTTGATGGGGTTTTTTGTTGTTGTTGTTGCACGATGCACAAAGGCTGAGTGTTATTTTGTGGTTGTTGTTGTTGTTGTTGTACACGTGTTTCTCCGGGTGCGATTTGAAGCGTCAAACAATATAAACGCGTGCGGGTTGACGGACGTGATTATATCCCACCCCCCAAAGATTTATGAACTAGATAAAGAAATATTGTTCACTCGATACCCGCATTTCGACTTATCCAAGTGGCAGCTTTATGTTTTTTTACTGCACGGATTTAGTTTCTTCATTACCCCACGGTGTAAATAAAGTGCCGCTTCAAACTATCACTCACTCCGTCCTGTCTGCCCTCTCTCTATATTCCCTGAAAAGGGACAATCGCCCGAAACGTCGGCCTATGGCGTGTGTGTCTTTTTTCTTATTCTTCTTCTTCTTTCTGTCATCAGCCGTGAGTGTGAATGACGAATGCGGAAAGTTCCTAATTTCATTCCACGCTTTGCTACCAACGTTGCATCGTTCGTGTTGACCGGGCAGCGTGAACATATCATCGTTGGGTAGTATTCAATTGTTTTTAAATGTCTTAGTCTCTTAAGTGTCACAAGCAGAGCAATGGAGACTTAAATACATTTCACGACCACATGCATATGATGTAGAGGTCCCTGTACTGTGCCTCTGAATCGGAATATCTATTTATACTGGAGGAATCCGATGAGCTATAAAGCTCTTTTTCACAGATGTCCAGCACTGTGACCCTGTCGTGCTGTCGTTCCTTGTTTGTCTCTCCGTGTCGCCGTCGCTCCCGTGTCTCTCTCCCCGTGTCTTCGTCGTCCCCGTGTCTGTCTCTCCGTGTCTCCGTCGATCCCGTGTCTGTCTCTCCGTGTCTCCGTCGATCCCGTGTCTGTCTCTCTGTGTCTCCGTCGCCCCCGTGTCTTTCTCCCCGTGTCTCTGGCGGTGTCCTCGTTCAGTGCCTCTCGATATCCACGGTGATGCAAAATATCGCCGCCTATCATTGATAATTTGACGCCCCCTTACATCTGTGGGTCCTTGTCCACCACCCTGATTGATCACCCCGATTCTCCACTCTGATTGACCACCTCAATTGTCCATCCCGATTGTCCACCTCGATCGACGACCCCCATTGTCCACCTCAATTATCCACCCCGATTGTCCACCCCTTACAGAAAATGAACCGTAAGAGAAAAAAAATCCAGAGCCAAAAGCACATAGCCGAGCAATTTACTGATAAGCTACTTATATATTTAACTAAGTCTTAAATGTAATTCTTATCAGGCCGCATGGTGTAAAGTACAGTCTCAAACGCTTATTGTCCACTCCTTCTCTCTGGATTCTGTGCTATGCAGAAGGATCGTTGCCCGTAACGTTGCCTATTATATATGTGTGCTTTTATTTGTAAAGCCACAGTGCTATTTGCCGAATGTCTCGTGGTCATTGTTTTATTAAGTGTGCTTGTGCACCCAACTGTCAACGGAGCGCAGTGGGTCGTCCATTGCAACTGTGAACATGGCGATTCAAGTTCGATTTCCGGCCACGGCTAACATGAGTGACGAATGATATTTGACTCAATCAATCAATCAATTAATCACCTCCGGCACTCAACATCGTGTTCAAGTAATGGGAAAAACATGATAACCCTCATGCCCGACATGACGTGGGGGAGGCATTCATCCCACCGTGGCTTGGCAATGGGTGTGTCAAATAAATAAAGAACAT